ATATAGCAATGAATAATGTGGTTGTTCGTATTAGAGTTCTACGATTATATGAGGCTCAGCTGCAGATCGTGACATAAAATCGTGGGAAGTTGGATGGCAATACTGAAAGGATCCAGCCGGTACCCCTGTAATATCTCCATCCATCTGGAGAAACTCATGAAAGAGGGAGAGGTGTTATTCTTTTTGTAGGGTGGATGTTATGCAAATGTTATCAAATAGTGTATAAGATTAGTTGAGCAATAATTTGTCTAAAAATCTTGCGCTCCTTTCACTGAATTGTTGCGTTCGTAGAAAGAAACAATATCGTCCAAGATATATTCTGTTTTTTCCATTAAAGCTTCGAACATCTGAAACTTGATATATACATGAATGTTCATCGAATGTCATCCATTACTTCTCTCTTTTCCTCAGTATCAGTATCTTCAGACATCTTGTCAAGAACGGGCACTGCGAAAGGCACGAATGTCAGTCCCATAAAAGGCAAACTCCGGGAGTAGGCTTCTTCCAGCTGGAATAAAATGTCTGTGGAAAAGTTGTGCATAATGGGGTGCATCCGACCTGCTGCAGGGTATAGGGCATTTCCATATTTCCTACTTCTTTCTTCACATTATCACAGAGATACTTGAGCAGCTCCTTCCAGTGCTTCCGCCTATCTTTTCCGCTCAGGCATGAGAGAATCATTATTACTGCGTCACTAGCCGGGCAACCCATATGTGCACACTAAATAGATATCAGGTTGATTAATTCATGGATTTCTTCGCGTTTGTGGCTACTACAAATAACCCAAACAAAATTTTGTCTAGTGCTTGGTATCTCTCAAAAAGCACCTTGATGAGAACCAGAAAGTGCGCAAATAGTGGAAAATGAAACAAAAAAATGATTTCATAATATCGCAGAAATTCTATAAAACATAGAAACTGAATACTATGATATGACTTTTACCTGAAAGTCTATTATGGCAGCTGGTTTGAGTTCTTTATAACCATTTTTCTTCCATAACACATTCGCTGTCCACAAATCACCATGACAAAGAACGCGCTGCATTCCTATAAGACTTGCATCAATTATAAGCATTGCCAAGAATCTTTTCTTTTTCTGATTTTTTCCATCAAAGGATAGTGATAGTTGCCTTGTACTCGGTTAGTTCAAATTCTTCTATTTGAGAGTTTCTTTTCCTCCCTGGTCATAGCTTCGAACGAAAAATCAAATCGAAAGAATATGATAGTTCACCGAGATCGTCCGCTAACCGGTCGATTTTGGCTGGGTCCATAATATCGCCAGCAATTTCCTCCAATCTATCGACTTTTTCGGCCAATCTACCGTTGCCAAGCGTTCGAAGGCGCTCTATCGAATTGGTCATGACCTAGACGAATACGCCACAGTCATGGCACAAAATTTAATTTGATTTTTTTCTTCAATCGCAACAGAACTTATTTATATTTGATAAAATTTCTTCTGATCTGCTGCACACTTCCCCTGAGTAGTGTGTTGAGTAAATACTACCTACGTTATCGTCGCACATCTGCTCGTAAAACTGTTGATAGAAAGTTGTAGTAAGTTGACTTCTTTCCTCTGAGGTGAACTTAAGAGACATTGCTTCCATAAATGCTATGGCGGAGAAAACCTTAAAGA